TATAGGACCTACATAATTGATGCCGCACTATGAAAAAAAAAAGCTACCTTGACCCTGTAGTACTTACGTAATTGGTGTCCCATGTGAGGAACCCATATGAACAGTACGGTAGAGCCCAACTGATATTGGTTGGCTGATAGTATCAGCTTATATTGAGGTCCAGTGAACTGGTATTGGAAAAATTTCCACTGATAAAGCTAGGGATGTTTGAGATGCCAGTATTTGAATACTGAAATCGCTACTCAGGTACAGAGAATGTGAGCGGTATGGACCGGGAGTGACGTGATTCTTGCCCGGAGCAGCTTTTCAGAAAGTTGGAGCGTCAGTCTTCTCTCTCGCTCCGAAATCACTCCAGTACCACTCCATCCCGCGAGCCAGACAGTCCCTTTTTTCCACCCTGACTACTTCTGCCTGCATGAATAATGCGTCAGTGTCTCAACAGCTCGCATACTGAGGAGCAGTTCAGCAGACCTATACTGGAAATTCTCAATGGTCACAAAAAAAGTCTCATGTCGTCCATTTTGCTGCAAGAATGTTAAAGAAGAGTGTGTTAAAAGCACAAACGTTTCTACCCTCGGCAGATTTCTAGATCTAGGCCGTCACTTCAAGCCCAGATCTTCTGAAAGAAGCCCGTGAAGCACAGAATGTTTAGTATTTCATCCATAAATAAAATAATTAATGAAATAAAGTATGTAGTGTCTTGTCCATACATTCAAGACATACAATAAAAAGGTGACACTTTATTTTGAGTGGTCCTTTTTAGATGAAATAAACGCTCAACAGACTCTTGGTAACATGTCAAAAACATATCAGTGACGAAGCGGCAGTGAATACATTTAGTAGATTACTAAGAGACTTTTAATTAACTGTGTAAATATAATTGGTTTATAATTTGTTGAATTCAGCTCTTTTTCAGTTCATCTGGGGTGTCCAAGTTCATATCTGTAGATGATAACATGAGAGGTCACTGAACATGCCATAGGTTTAATACAGACCATCTCAACAAGCTGTTATAGACACACTGCTGACACCATTCTGCAAGTGGAGTTTAACTGATTTAGGTTTTGGTTGAGGTTATTGTTAGTGTTAGGGCCAGAGTGAGGATTAGAATTAGGTTTTGGGTTGAAGTTGCAGTAAAAATTAGGGCCAGGGTGAAGATTAGGGATTAGGTTTTGGATTGAGTTTAAGGTTAGGGTTAGGATAAGGGCCAGGGTTAGGGTTAGGTTTTGGGAAAGGTTGGTAAGGTTAGGTTTTGCGTAATGGAAGTGACATATTAACAACACATCTACTTTAATGTAAGTAATGTATCAACAGAACATCTATAAGACATTTACTTCAGTGTATTCAGATGCTTCACTACAGCTACTTCACTGATGTGTTGTTGATGTGTGACTGATAGTATGTTAAGAGTTCTAATAATCATCTACAAAGGGACCACTCAAAATAAAGTGTTACCAATAAATAAGAATGGATCATATGGAGCGGACATTGAGCAGAGTTTCTCTGACGTGTGAGCGAGGAGCAGGCAGGGAGTGGGAAATGTTCTGGAGTGGAGTGATTACAGAAATGAGGAGCGGAAATGTGTGCTGCTCACATGCTCTGCTTGGGCTACCATTATGTTTCATCTCAGGAGGACAAAGAAAATATACAGGCCAACAATTCAGTGAAACATGCTGATTTTGCTCATATTTGAGACTAAGTATGTATGTAATGGTGCCTGGGGCTACTCCGAAACATGAGTGCCTGGACATGAGCACACTGCCAAGGACGCGCTGTTGAGGATGTGGCAGAGAAGGCAGAGATAGCAGAACTGTATTGCTAACTAGGCCAGCTACTCTAGCTGAAGTCCAGAAACAATGAAAAGACATTTTTCTGGCAAATAACATGTTGGTACATTATCTGCTGCTGAGAAAATACCTTGTGAAGAAGACGAGTCCCCATCAGCATCCAGCATGACACTTGTTAGCTATGCTAGCTCATTAGTTTATCTGAAGAGGCAGCCTAGCATTACAACATTAATCTTCGAATGCAACAGTTAGCTTTAGTGTTACCCATTTATCAAATCTGTCAGCTGATTTGTCATCACAACATGGAGCATATTCCCAAACTACATCCAAACACATGGTGGCATTTGCAATACCCTCCTGTGTTAAAAGCTGCATCATGAAAAAAATAGAATTGTTCACTTCGCCAGCTATGTAGGTATAAAACAAACCTGCATAATATGTGCCATTGACATTTTATGCACTGTGATATCAGATACACAGCATGCAATAGTGGTGATAGGCCTACTGAAATATTAAACACATATTTGCTTTTTTATATGGGTGCCAGCATTTGCTCTTTCATTATATGACTTTAAACACCATTCTGAATGTCTGCATGCTGTATTGCATTTATCTTCCCAGTAACTGCAAAGATTAGAAAGAGCCGCAGACTCAACCTGAGCCGTGCTATGAGCCATGCTTCCTCTGTAATTATTATTAACATAGGATAATTTAACCATCTCACCACATAATCTCAGTTTAACATTTCTATCATATCTAGAATTTCAGGGCAATGTAAACAAACTTGGTAGTGCACACGGCTGACTTGTCGTGTTATTCATATCTTTATATTTGTCAGTTCCAGTGAACACACGAATCAGAAGCCAAGAAGTGTCACTACCTTATTAAAACATACAAAAACATGATTTTGTTTTTATTAAGAAAGGTATTTGGGCTTGAAATATTTGTCTGAATCTGTCGGGGCCTGACTGCCAGTCCGTTTCGGTCAGATTCAGATGTCATTTTCCAAATATGTATCAGACTCAGGTCGGATTCAAATTTCACATTCAGGTTCTTACAGCCTGCCTTCATTTCTACCCTGCTTTAGGTTTCCTTCTTACTTTATTCTTCACTATTTTTACTACCTTAGATCATTTTTAATCTGGCACAATGGAGTCACTCACTCAGCACACACTCAGAGGTCTACAAGGCCTACGCTTGAGAGAAAACAGAACATAAATAGTGAATTGATTCATGAGAAGTCAGTGTAGTTTAACGTGTTTGGCCAAAATTATTTTTATATTGCTGATGTCAGAACAAAACCTTGTGTCTCCATTTTTGTCATTTTTCAGTTTTTGACATAATTTGGAAATGCCTGTTGCTCTTTATATTGTGTGTAAGTTCCATGATGAATGGACTAAAAGAAACGGCCCAAAATGACTCAGAAAAAAGTCTGGTTCCATTGACTTACATTAAAAGTACAGTATGTTTTTTCCATCTCCTGTAAAGTTCTGTGTAAGGAGTTCTAATAAAGACTCTGACTTTAAGGATTAAACATGTGAAGTTAACATCTCATTATATCAGCACTGCACAGCATGAGAACAGCACAGTACGGAAAGTTTTTCCAGACAAAAAATTTTTGAGATGTTGCTCAATATCATTATTTGATGAATAAATAAATTAAACTAGGATTTTAGACAGCTGTATGTTTGATTATATCATTGTTTTTATATTAATTTGGTTTTATTTATCTGTGTTCTAATTATGCTTGTATTGTCACATCGTAACTGATGCTGTTCAGTCAGGTTTTGTTCAGCTCTTTGTGTGACATTGGGCCGGTTTGGGTCTGTTTAGGACAGAAACTTGTTGGACTTTCTTTGAACATGATAGTGTGCGTCAAATTGGGTTTAGACAGAATTTTGTTGGACATGGGTCAGGTTAGTACTCAAAAACGAAATCCTGTGCATTGAATAGGGTCAGGCTCGGACAGAAATTTCTCGGGCCATGTTTGTATTCGGACCAAAATTTCAGGCCTGATTAAAGCTCTAAAAAGGATAAGTGAAGAAAATATTCATGCTTGAGGATCTAATGGTTTTTGCCAGTCTTTATAGAGGCTGCTAAGGGAACAGTCATCATCCACTCACACCTATCACAGCTATTATTTCGGCCGATACTATCGGCTTTTCAGAATATTTAGCCCCTTAAAATTATCACCATTATCGGTCACAAAATGCTCATTTTGGTCCGGCCTACTTACATAAATTGTGCACCTTGAGAGGAACCACACGAATGCTTGGGCCAGATGTCCTATGATTCAGCATCCACTCTCTGATATGGTCATCCCTCTTTTCCCAGTATGAGAGGTCAATGTCCGGTCTTCTGACACAGAGGCACTGGGGTGTTGTTGACCCAGAATTCCACTGTGTCTATTGAGCATCACTGTTGTGAATTGGACAACACAAACACTGTATGTGACCTTGTTCTCTTTTTGGTAGTGCAGCACGGGGCTCTGAGACGAGACGAGAGAGCGAGTGAGGCAGAGAGAGACATCAGCCACGGCCCTGGACAACTTCCCGCCTGTTTTCGACTGAAGCTCGGGCCGGGAGAGCACAGCGCATTAAAAATACATGTCCCACAGGAGAGCTCGGGCCAGCACACATACACAAGGCCATAAATCAATACCCGAGGACCATGAATTCTTCATCATCACTTTCCCTTCCAGCACCGAACTGAAGAGGCAGCGAAGAGACCGGCTGACCAAAGGATTCCGAGCTCAGGCTACCCTGAAAACATTCTGCAGAACTGAAAAGAGAAGCAAAACAACAAAAATACATATTGTTTTGCTTCTTACAGCATTTTTGCAGCTCATAACTCTTTCAACAGCCTGTCACTGGTCTTCAAGGGCATCTTTTTTTTGCCGTGTTTTTTGTTTACTGTTTTTCTGATCCAGCATCCCCAAAGCAAGTTTTTGTCATACCAAATGTATATTCCTTTCAGCCGTGATCATTATTGTGAGTTATTACCATTTCTATCATAATTATCTGCTTGGAAGTCAAAAGTCGTGCACTCTGACCACAGAAGCCCATTATAATACATTTTGATTAGCAGTTGGAACAGACAGTCAGCTTGAGCCCTTTAGGGAAGCTGGGAATTGAATCTCTCGTCCTCTCTTTCCCATCCTGACGACAGCGTGGAATGATAAAGGAGTGAGTTTTCGGTGCTAATCAAGGCTTTCCATCACTGAAAGTGACTTCCATTTTTCCCTCCATGCAAAGCAAAGCACATTAGCATATTTATCAGATACAGAATCATCCCATCATGGGAAAATGTGTGGCCCAGGCCCTGTGCTCGACCAACACGGCCCGGAGCAAATAGCTCCTGACATGTGAAGAGAGCGAAACCCGCAAGAGCTGGAAGAGCTTAAAAACACGACGGAAACAGCCGCTCTCCTGACGCAACCTTGGTGGGCCGGAGGAGAAGCGAGGGAGGGAGGGAAGGGGGGTCAGGGCTTTCGTAGGCCTCCGCTCCCCCGCCCTTGTCATGATTCATGCTTGTATCTGTGGTCTAAGAACAAGCGATGGAATAAAGCAAAAATTAAAAAATTGGATTAGAGATGGATTATTGTTGCCACTAAGGCCAGTGCAGAATAAAGCTGGACGCTGCACTCAAGGGATCTTTTTTCGCTCAGCGTAAATTGTTCGGTTAATGCGGTTGCTTCCTCTCCATCTGCACCCCTCAGCGCAGAATGGAGAGTCAGGATGAACTGGAACACCCACTCTTGGCCGTAAGCCCCAAGCACTCGACCGAAATGGGTGGACTCTTCAAGGGCGCTTTGATGAGACGTGAAGAGGAAAAAAGAGCGCCCCCACTGACATGGGGAAGTTACTGCACTTCCACAGACCTCCGGCAACAGCAGCAGCAACAGCTGCTGGACCCGGGTTCCCTGCCCAGCACGCTGGAGTCCCTTTACCCTCCTGCACCTGTCTGGGGCCCTGCAGACTCCCTGGGTCTCCACACCAAGGAGTACTTGGAAACCACATTTGTGGACATTGGTCCTGGGTCTCCTCTGGAACGGAAGCTGCTGGCAGAAACCAGAGACATTCACAGCGTGTCCTACAGCATGGAGGACGAGGATGACCTGCTGCCGGATTTTGAGGTGAGGCTTTTGTTATTCTAAAAGAAACTGAATGTACTAAGACTTGGGAATATGTTGCCCCACTCAGCTTCAAGTTCATCAAAGTTCAAAGTTCTAAATATTGATTTGAAAGTTTTCTTTTCCAAGTTGTTGTTAAAAGCACAGACTGTAACTCTTTTGGCCCAAAGGTGGTTCAAACACCTGACAAGAGTACTAATGAAAGCTAACATCAAAACAGGGTAGGGGTGGAACGTCTTATCACCTCACAGTTCGATTCAGGGTGCCAAGATGTGACAGATGTGATAGCTTTGGTAATAAGATTGTAGCCTAAACTCAATGCATTTGTTACATCTAAAGACCTGTATCATCTAATAGATTTAAACTAAATGAAGCATCTTTTATATTTATTCTTCGTGTCATGTATCCCTGCTGATGTTCTACATAGAAGCATCTACAACACATTCTCTACCAGTTCCACCATTCTCTCTAAAGAACACTTTCATGATGCAAAAACACTTTAATATTGCAAATGGTTCTTTGAGCAACGGTTCTATATAGGACCATTTTCTTTACTAAAGAACAATTAAAGAACGCTTTAATCATGAAAGGGGTTCTTTGAGTGTTCACGGTTCTATATAGAATCATTTTCTTTACTAAAGGACCATCATTTTTAAGTTTGTAGGAATAACATTACCATAATATCTACCATGCAAATATAGCCTTTTTATTCACTATCCAAAAGAACAAGTGAACCTGCGTGTGTTTAATATATACACAAGTTTATATATATATATATAAAAAAAGTGAATCTGTAAATAATAACTTCTTTGGGGGCTATTTAGCGTATTGCATGTACCTCTCTGCCTTGAATAGATTTGAAACGTGTGATATAAATTTGCAAAGTCGTGTTCTTTGTAGGGTCATATTGGCTATGGTTTCTGACCCTTCTTTCACCTACATACATTGTGACCAATTTGTGACTACAAACATCCAATAAAAATCTGATTATTAGTTCTTTTTTAATCAATTCAGAATCTTTCATGAGAGAATATCAACACATCTGAGATAATTCTTAAGGTAGCACTGTTAATAACACATACACAAATTGTTTAACCCAAAAATTAGCCCTTGCAATGTTATTCTATTGCAAAATGACAAAAGAAAGGTCCATTTTGAAAAACTAGGTGTCCCCAAACTTTTGTCTAGCAGTGTGCAAACAAAGAGAAGCTGATGTGGCGCCAGTGGCTTTACCGTTATCTCTTCAACCAGACTCTCAAATGCAAATCGAACAAGGCTCAATCATGTATGTCAACAATACAGCCAGCATTACAACACCAGCTGGGTCCGTTTCCTATTTCAGCCTGCTGTTGTTTCCTAGTTGTTGTGGTTGTGTCCTGACCAAGGAAAGGGCTAGACAAAGTGAGGTCACTCAGTAAGTGTAGATGTGTTCACTTTCCTCTCCAAAAAGACATCTGTCAGCTAAGCCTTGCACTTTGAATAAAGCGAGAGATATAGTGCCGCAGACGCAGTATTCCGAGGTGGGACAGGTTTGGGTGAGTGGGGTGTGGGGTAGGGGGAGAGGATGAGCTTTTAAATTGAAAAATCAAAAGGCATGAAGCAAAGGGAGGGGTAAGCTTGGGCAGTCATCAGCACATCCAGCACGATTATTAAAAAAAAAGCTCTGCATCTATTGCTGGATAGATAATAATGCCTCAGCGCTGATGAGGTCCACGCCAGCCTCTATTTCATACGCCAGTACACAAGGAGCGGGTGCGTAAAATAGAAACTGTGATATTAAATTCAGTTTTCAGTCCCCTAAAATGAGTTAAGATGGAATAGAGATTTGGTTTGGTGTAGGTTTTCGCCCTCTACGGGACGCCTTTGGAAAAGGGGCAACAGAGTGCAGAACATCAAACTCCTCTGATCCGACTTAGAACACCTGACAACAACATTGCTCTCCCTATTCCCTTTGTGCCACCTCAATTCTGACACATAAAACGGTTCAAACAAATGCACAATGGCACCACATCCCTGTGAGAAAACAATCGTCATGGAAATCATTTGTCACTTGGTGGATCGCTGGGCTCCTTGTTGAGCCGCGCTCGCGGTTCTTACTGTCACTGTTCATTACTATTCATTGTGTGCCAACAGTGATTCTCACCAGGAGGTCGAGTGCAAAACTGCTCCATTTGCGATGTTTCACAACTAGTAAAGCTGTATAACCTAAGTCCAAAGTAAAATTGCATAAAGGCTAATTCGGTAACACTTTCTATGAATGTCACGTTTGTAAGCATCTATAAACACATTTATAACATGTTATAATGCATTAATACAGCATTATAAACATGATTATAAACATTTATAAAAATGAATTACACTTTATAGCCATGTTTATTATACATTATTAATTGGTAATATAATGCATTATAAGTAGTGTTGATAACATGTTATACTGTCAGTGCCAAATAAGTCAGTCCCAGCTTGGAGAGTGTAAAGACAAATACCAAGCTAACGGTGGTGTACATTACCTTTCCCATGTTGGGTAAAACACTGATGGCAGCACTAGTTTAAAATCTCATATTTGAAGCCTGTAATGTGTTGTACTTTGTATGTTGAAGTGTTTCAGTAAATACTTCAACTTGTAGCCTCATCCTTAACACAGGAGGAGGCTTTAGTACAGTACGACTTATGAGCTCTTATAATTTGTTATGATCAGTACTTATAATGTATTTTGTTAACAATTCATAATGCATAATAAGCATGGCTATAACGTGTAATGCATTTTTATAAATAATTAAAGCCATGTTTGTAATGCCTTATGAATGCCTTTTAACATTTTATGAATGTGTTTATAGATGCTTACAAAGGTGACATTCATAGAAAAAGTGTTTTTTTTTCTTTCCAACACAACCAGTAAACCTACACATGGTGTTATATGCAATGTTGATGATGGTAAAATAGTAGCGAACCTGAAAAAAAGAAAAAAAAAAACTTTTCTTTAGGGCCTCACAATGCATTGCATCTACCTCTCCACCATAAATGGATTTAAAACTTATATTTTGTGCCAAAACCTTCATCAAACAATGCCTCAAACATCGGGTGTATTTGTAACCATAACACAACACACAGTCATGTGTCAAAGGTTCTATGAGGGAGCTTTTAAAAGCATTAAACTCTTCAGATGTCTGCTTCCTATCACCACCACTGTAAACACCTCTGACTTGGTAAGTTTCTCTAGAATAGCACACCTCACATCAGACCACTCTGAGTGACTTTGTTTACATCTTAATGATTTCAGTAATTTGGAAAATTGTTGGAATTGGTGACAGTTACCTTCACTTACATTATGTCATCTTTGTGGGCATTTCATCAACATGCTGTTTTCCCTTTTTTGGTGGGCTCATAATAATTTGATGAGCTCTGCAACGAGTTGCTGGTTTACACTGAAGCAACATGGCTCACACAGAAGCAACATGTGGAAATAGACACTGGAAAAGGCTGGAAAGTAAAATGAAACTGTGTAAAGAAGCTAGGTTGTCACCATTTAGTTAGCTATGCTAGGTAATGTTACTTGGAGCTTGCTAGTAGCTAACGTTACCTGTACTAGTTACTTGCTTTTAATATCGACAACAATACAATGTGTATTTCCAGCTGTTAGTTCACTATGAAACCTTCAATTTATGATAATCTGGATTTAACCATCAAAAAGTGAATAAGATCACACAGCATGGCTACTTTCAGGTTGCAGTTGGGGTTACAATGCTAATAAAAAATAATGACGCAATAAATAAATAAAATAGCAATTGTGGCATGTGACACCCTTTCAGTTGCGCTTCATGGACTAATCCTTTACTGTAAACCATAGCCTATGGTTAACTATGTTGCTTGGGGGAAGAATTGGTTATTGCAATATTATTTATTTTTTCATTGTTGGTGTATCTTATCATATTGTGTTTGTCACTGTTTTAGAAAGGCAATGATCTACTTGAGCCATGTAAGTCATTTCACCATGGTTAAATGGTGTTGTTAGGCACAATATGAAGCAGCCTCTTGTAATATATTGCTTTGAAAAAATGAACAAAAGTTTAATAAGTAAATAACAAGCCTGCAGTTTGAGGGGTTACATGCTATATTGTTTGCCAGCTTTGCCTACTGTGTTCAACATGGTATCAGTGAATGTACTGGCTGGTGATACATTACAAACTAATAAGTTAAGTAACAATGAATTTGCCCAAGTGTACCATCGTATTTATAACTTTGGCAACCCTTTCATGTGCAACTTTTTTGGATATTTTGGACCATCCAAACACACCCCTTAAATGCTAACTAACTGACAGTCCTGATGAACCTCTTTTATAATCTGTGACTCTCCATCTCTGCTTTAAACCTTTACCTTAATCCTGTCCCATCACCGGGCAATACATCTTCAGGTAGAAGCCTGAGATTGTTATAGGGAATGTTCTGCAAGCTTCTCTTTCAATTGTTCCTTGTGACAATTCAATTTTTAATTTTCCTCCCTGCTAAATTTAATAGCCTATTTTATGCATTCAGCAAGACACAATCAGCAGCATGTTATATGAGATAAATGGTGCGTGAAGCACATCTGGAGGAAATTAAGATTTTTTTTTTTCAGAGCGACTGAAACAGGAGGAACGTTCAGACAAGGTCAGAGGGGAAGAGACAGACTGAAAATGTAGCTCTTTTTAAAAGAACATGAGTCACGATTCACCCGAAGGCAAGCTCTGCTAGTGCACATTTGGCATAACCTCATTCAGTCACATTACCTAAGAGGCACCAGACGAAGTTTATTCATTGTTCAGGCAGATGCGTTTGGAAGAATACAGCAATAATACACTCTCAAGGATGTTTTAGCAGGAGGCAGAGGACAAACCATAAAGTAAAACCAGAGTTGTTGAAACTTTCCAGATGTACCAAGCAGATGCTGAGATTTGGATCTTATTGCTACAGAATTTCTTAAAGGGGGAAAAAAAAAACTATATTATGACTTTTACTGCACATAGTATTGTTGCTAAATCACATTAAAATATTAAATTGTTATTTTTCTGGTTTTGTTCACAATATAATGCTAGGTAGGAAGAAAAAAATGTAAAAGGTTAGATGTATCCAGAATGATGAGCAGAGCTGTATGATTCTTTATTGACTCAGAAAGCTATGAATGTAACATCCAGAATGCCTTGTGTTTGAAACAGAGTGATCTCAGATAAATTATAAAGAGATTACAATAAATAAGTCAGTACAGCATATCATCTATCGTTTAATATGTTGTTGGTGTTCCCAAAAACTTTTGAAGTATTGATGAAAAGGTTCTTAAAACACATTCTGGTGTGAAGTTTACAGTATTTTAATCTAAATTGTAATAATAAAATAACAACAAGGCCTGCAGTTTGGGCCATAAAAGTCAACACTCGGTCAAAAACAAGGAAATACACACATCTACAGTAAAGCTATTTTCTGCCAGCATCCCTGTGGGTTATGTTAGCACTACATTAACAGCAATTCCCAGGAACATCTTTTGGCCATTCTAGGTTAAACACAGACAGCTGTATCTTGTAACATTGAATGGTTTTATTTGAAGCTTGTAACAGACATTAACATATATTTTACCTTGTAGCAGTTTTACAATGACTCTTTCAGTAAAGAGTGCTGACACAGAGCTGCTGCTGCAGCTTTCCATTTCTAACAACTGACCTGGTTAGACTATGGTTCATATTCACAGTCAGTGACACATCTATAACTTCCAGGGAACCTAGAGTGTAGAGCTTTAACGGGGCCTGAAATTCTGGTGTAAATCTGAATACAGCCCAAGAATTTTCTGTTCGAGCCTGACCTGAACCACATTACTGTTTTGGGGTTGAAAATGACCCGAGTATAACAAAATTCTCTCTGAAACTGACCTGAACTGGCTATTTATCACCTGCAGTGCTAAATAAACCATGACAGGATACCACAGGTTACCATGTAGTGACAATAAAAGAATCATTAGATTCTTATAGATAAATAAAATATAAAGCAATATAAAATTGTTTGCTTTATTAAATTATTCAGCCATGCAAAATTAAGTTTATACTGCTTTAACAAATTTATTCGTCAAGTAATGCTTTTGAATGATATCTTAAATGCCGAAACGTGATTGGTTGATTCCACTGTCAGTTCCTAATTATGTAAGTGGTTAATCTGATGCATTAGTGGTTAATCTGATGCCTTCAGTTTAGCTCCTGAAGTCCTAACTAATAGGAAAGCTTGCTTGGCTGTATTTACCAAGATACCACCTCAAAAAAATCCTGATTGGGTCATTTTCTGTTCTTTCCAGCCAAGACTTAACAATGAAATCAGAGTATTATTACAATACTGTAGAGTTTAAAAACAACAAGCATGATGACTTAATTAAACAAAAATTAACTAAAAAATTACAGACATGTATTTTTTATTTCACAGAAATCGTTAAGGCCCTGAGGGTTTCCCACTGGTTATTATTAGTAGCTGTGTTCACCATCTGTTTCCTCCTGTTTGTTGTTGGCGAGTCCGATTATATTTTCACTCCAGCTGTGTCTTGTGTCTCTGTGTCTCTCAGGACTCCTCCAGTGACGACTTCAGTGACACGGACAGTGAAAGCAACTTTCCACTCATGATCCCACAGGACTACCTGGGCCTGGCCTTCTTCTCCATGCTCTGTTGCTTCTGGCCTCTGGGCATCGCTGCCTTCTACTTGTCTCAGAAGGTACAAGGACCTTTACTGTGCTGTCTCAATCACTTTTTATATCTTTTTATAACTTTTTATCAGCACAGGCACTGCAGCATATATACGCATTTCGGCTATTTTTTGTGTAGAAGCATCTGCAGTTTGCAACGGCTTGCTAACTGATGAATACAATTTGCGGCCAGTGTGCTTTTGCATCTAGGTCTGTATTGTTCACTCAGGCCTGTTATGTGGATGGGTGGCATAAGTACCCATGAGCACAACCTTTCGACTGCTATCTTCATGCTCTGAATCATCAAGGACATTAAAAACTCAAGTGGTTCTGTTCCCTCCATGAAATATGAGAAGAATGAGAGGTGGTACACAAGAGAAATGAGATTGAAATGTTAAATAAGGAATTAGAGGCAGAAATGGAGCGAGAATCATAAATCATCGTTCAGGATGCCAGTTATTATTGAATTTTTCATCATTCAGCATAACAGGTTTCTGCAAATTCAATAACGCAGAAATGGATTCATAGATTACTGTATATTTATGTTTGACAAAATAGGTTTTATTTCTGTCTGAAATCCGAGGGTATCAGTTCTGTCTTCCATCTTTGCTCGGTCACATCAATGGTCACCAAGTTTGCCAAATATTTTTTTAAAGTATCATTTAATAATAATATATCATATAGTGACTCACCAATATGGAACTTGTGGAATCCGATATTCATCAGGTACACATATGTTAATGCCAATGCAGATACATAAACAGTTATAAAATGTTGAAATTGGGACTAGATCCATTTGGGTTGGAATTACAGAGACATGTCCGACTTACTTGTAGAGGGTTACAAATGCAGTAGCTCAGTGCTGCCTAATATAAACAACCATAATCACACATAATACAGACATAAAACCTCATAAGTAGTAAAAAAAAGGTGACAAGTTCAGGAACCAATCAATCCATATTACAGAGTCTAGTGCCATTGTTCTTAGGTGAACACCCAAATTAACATGAGACTAAAATACAGGGTAACTGCTCTGGAATTATTTAGTTCATTGAGTTCATGCAACTGCAATTCTTTTCCAAACACTGCACTTATTTTTAGGTATTTTGTTATTTATATTAAAAATCTGTTGCTTATCAAGGTCAGAAAATGAATATATATAAATTCGTCAGACATCTCCTTTTAGAGGCCCACATCTGTTATAAATCAGGCCGTTCCGATAAAACTTAGCCCATCATTTGTATTCTACTGGTCCCATAAGGTGTCAAGTGCTTGGACCCCAGTCATCGCCACTTCACAGGTAATTTGTAGAGAGTGGTTTAGCTCTCAAAGTAATTATCACAGGAATTAAAGTGTTCTACATTCATTTTAGACACAAACTAAATGGAAGCAGATTATCTTAGTTGTTAACGATCATTTTCACAAATTAACCTTTTTTCAAATGCAGTTTAAAAGGAAAAATCCGTAGATTGTCTGAATAAAGAGTGTTTGGGTGGTCTGTGTCAGAATTCTCTGCTGGCAGCAGAACCTCCTCACTCCTCCACATGCATGAGTTTGAACACACCTGGTCAAATTACATGTTGTACTGATTTTATGAATGAAAATAAGTTAACACATTCTCTACAGGGAGCAAACTTTAATATGCCATTTGTCTGCTAATTTTACTGCATAATAGGTATTATTTGCAATATATTGAATATATATCACAGGCCAAATTTTATTTTATATGTTAATTCAGCAAATAAACAGTAACAGTGCATTAAAATGTTCTCGGTAGAGGATGTGTACTTATTTTCACCTTGTAAATCAACAACACATAATATGACTAGCAGCACGCAAACTTTTGCTAATGACTGTATACGCCAAATACAGACATCCGCCCGATAGGTACCAAAATGATTCCATATCTTTTTTCCTGACTAAGATCAGATACATAAATCTAAACATCTATGGCGTGAGCTGTCAGAAAGGCTGTGTGACAATTGGCGGCGATTTGCAGGGAAGCTCAGAGCAACAGGTGATGTTTGGTGAGAGTGCAGACATCATGGAATTATACCTGTGGATTTACACAGGATTACACAGAGATTTGCAGGATTATGCCACCAGAGAATCAGCATGGCAGACAGCTAAATAAACACACACTGATGTGGTTGTACTACAGGACGGATTTTAGACTAGTCCACTTTCTTGAGATCAGGAAAGCAGACTTACAGCTCATTCCTGTTAAAGGCTTGATTTGAGTTGATGGGGTTGACAGTGGGGTTACTAAATCCATCTGACAGCAAGCCAGGAGATTTTTATTTTATTTGTGTATTTTTGTTATTTCTTTATTTTATTTGTTGTATTTTATTTACAGTTGTATGCAAAAGTTTGAACTTAGATGTGTAATTTAAAGAGCACAATTTCTATTTATTTGCTGAGTTTAACATATTAGAAAAAAATAAATAAACTATAAAACGTGCCATCACTTTTGCACAGGCCACATTTGTTTTTTTCCAATATGTTAAATTCAGCAAATAATCGGTAACAGTGTGTTAAAATGTGCAGAGGTGTGTATTTTCTGTAGAAGATGTATTAATTTATTTTCATTAAAAAAAAACAAAACACCTCATTTGACTAGGGATGCCAAAGTCTCATATACAACTGTATTTATTTATTTATTTATTTATTTATTTACTTATTTATTTTGCTTTAGTTAGCAAACTATAAGCAGGTGAAAGTGGCAGCAGTGGTGACTAGCTATCATAGCCTTTACAACTAGTGTTGCACCGATACCAATATTGTATTGGTATCAGCGCCCATACTTGCACTTAAACGCAGCATCGGTATCAGTGATGGGGATGCCAATACCTATGACTGATGCCACAAAGCAATTTCTGATGTGTGCATTCACGCCAGTAGACAGAACTTAATGACACGTCGCGGTGTGGGATGACAAGCAGCAATAAAAACGCTCATGGCAAAATCTGTAACGGCAGTTTTGGTGTTAGCAACACGCCAACGGAGCCGCTTACCTGAACAGCTGAGCTGCTTCTTTCAGTAATCACTCGTCTGCTGCTGTGTGGTCACTTACAGTCTGAGTTAATGTTATTGAGAGAGCAGAAAGAACCGTCTGACTCTCGGCGTAATGATAGCCTTTAGTCTTGATTTAGTCTTTAGCACAGCAGCCCACTAGCTGGGCCAGTGCGTCCACTAGCCCTGCCTGCGGTGCGGCTCTGTCGGTTGGCTGTATCACTCAGCAGGGGGGTCTTGCGGTCTGACGCTTGAACGGAACCAGAAAAAACACTGAAATTTGCTGATACTGACAGCGTGAACGAGCGAGCGAGTGAACAAGACACACATATGAGACAAACGACTTGAGAAATTTGGATGTGATACAACATTCAGCTCCGTTTTCGAGCCAGAGAAGCTGCTGTGTCCTGATGTGTAATCACAACAGGTTTACTGTTCAGTTCTGTTTTTAACGGTTTTGCACAATAAAGATATTTTACATTTATTTAAGTTCTTAAATATGGTTCTTAGTACTAATTATATAGTAGTAATTACTAAATACAGTAAGTTTTTGTAAGCATCTAATAAATATAAGCCAACAAGTAAGCTGAGTGTGTTTTATTTGTGACACAGAACATAGATTTTACCATAAATAAAATATTTTAAAATGTAATCTTATAAATATCAGGACTTATACGCGAGGTTAGCTAAAGTTAGTATCGGTATTGGTATCGGCCGATACTAAAGAATCAGGTATTGGTATCGGAGGGGTAAAGTGGTATCAGTGCATCTCTACAACAGTAACCAGGTCAAAAAAGGTACAAAAACAATATATTCTACTTTGATTTATAATTTTTCAGAAACATTAAAGGCACTAATAACGTTCAGGATTGAATTTTTTCAGTCCTGGAGGCCTCGGCCAATTCCTCTCAAGGCCTGTCCTTGAGGGTTGGCAACCTTAGTTGACAGTCAATTTGATTTCAGGCTAAATTAGCTTTTTCCATCATGTCTGGTTCTACTGGTACAGCTGATTTCAGCGTGAAGGCCCAAAACTAATGGGACGGAGGTAGCAGACAGCAATTCTGTGTAATGTTCTCATGCTGTGTCTCCACACTCACTATGTATGGCGGTCTGGGAAAGCATCCAGGCCTGTGTTGAATTTTCTATTACCGGCCTCATGTGGCTGAGTGACAGCATGACACTGGCCTGGTGTTCTGGTCAATGGACTTTGTTAAGGTTTTAATTAAAGTCATAATGAGTGGCCTCCACTCATGGATTTCCAATAGAGCATGAGGTGCAGTCAAAAATGAAGACTATTGTCGAAGACAAGAGAGTTAGAGATGAAAGAAGGAAAGAAACAGGCAAAAAAGGCACAATAGCCTCAATGAAAAATGCACAGAACCTGCATAATGGACATTATTGACATCACCACTGTGGCTGAATGATGAATTTCTTATGGGGGTGGGGAGATGTCTATCACTGGGCTGACTAATGCATGTACTGACCTTGACTTCTCACTCTTTCTTTCCTTCCCGCTCTTCTTCGATCTGTTATGGCCAGACCAATAAAGCGTCGGCGCAGGGGGACTTCCAGGGGGCCAGCACGGCGTCCCGTCAGGCTCTGTGGCTCTCCATCCTCTCTATCGTCTTCGGCATCATCACCTACATCTGCGCCATCGCCGCACTCATCTCCTACCTGTCTGGGAAGCCACCTTAAGGATCCGCCTCTTTTGCAAGCCCCACCCCTTTTACAGCGCTCATGACGACACAGTAATTTCGCTCATAACATTAACTCACAAATATACACCTTGTAACAACTGGCTTTTATTCCCACCGAGCAGTGCTTGCATCTTTTCACTAAGCTTCCTGCAGAGGTCTAAAGAGTCTTGAGGGATGAGCACGACTGCTGGGAACAGATCGCAGGAGAAATATTACAAATTGAGAGAAAGGGTTTTAAAAAAAAAGGCAAAAATTGGCACAGCACTACACTTGGAGAGAGACAAACATAGCTTCATGTTTTCACTCTCAGTTCTGGCTGAAATCCCCTTACATCCCCACACCAATGACACAATACCACTGAGCAAAACCAGCTTGCACAGGTAAGCGAGTCTGCCTCCCACGTGATTTGGTGGGGCCTGAGGGTTTGTTTGAAGGCCTTGACAAGGACAACAAGACTTTTTTTTGCACTGCAGTGGAAACAGCAGGACCCAGACTGGATTTATAGAATCTTCATGTCCCATAATCCTCATGCCCATAGAAAAAGACATTACAGTTAGAGCTAAAAACACATAGAAACTACAATTAAAACTATGATTTTACTGAACATGGAAGCTACAGTTGTGGTTATGATTTAATTAAAGCAGAAATGGAAAACTACAGTACAATTTAATCCATTCCTGTCCAAGAACTAAGTTTAAAATGAGAAGCATAAAATGCAAAACAACTTGATCTGATTGGTCTAAAGTGAGGAAAATTTGAGTTATGCTTTGGATGAACATCAAACAGTGGCCATTTGATTTTTATTACATGTCATTTTTCATACTCTATTTTCAATAAACGTTGGGTATTTTATAAGTAGTCTCAAGTAAAAGTAGTTAAAAGTTAAAACTAGTCTTATGTCAGCTGAATTTAATATGATATATTAAGTGATAAACCTCACTTTTTAGCCCTGTTTTGATCAATTTAAAAAAGTCTTTAGATTTCTCCTCAGGCAAGCTCAGAGGATATATGGACCAAAGAAAGTGTAAAATTTCAGACATGGACATTAAATAGTTAATTAAACATGGAAGCTATAATTAATCAATTATTTTATAAAACACAGAAACAGAGCTGTAGTTAAATCTATGATTTAATTAAATACAGAAACAGAAACTATAGTCAAATCTACAATTTAATTAAATGTAGAAACTACAGTTGAAGCTAAGTTTTTGTAAACCTGGAAACTACAATTTTATTAAACACAGATGCTAAAATAAGTTAAGGCTACGATTTGACTGAACACGGAAATGGAAGCTACAGAAACAATGAAAAGCTACTGTAAAAACTGAAGCCCAACACTGACGTTGCAACTACGATTTCATTAAATACAGAAAGGAAACTACGCAAACAACGGAAAGCTACTGTAAAAACTTCAGTGTTGGGCTACGTTGAAGCCTAACACTGAAACTGAGGCTACAATTTAATTTAATATAAAAACTATGTTTTTTTTGTAAACCTGGAAACTACAATTTTATTACACATGGCAAGCTACAGTTAAGGCTATGATTTAATTGAACACAGAAATGGAAACTACAGAAACAATGAAAAGTTACTGTAAAAACTGAAGCCCAACACTGACGTTGAAGCTATGATTTCATTAAATACAGAAACAATGGAAAATGACTGTAAAAACTTCAGTGTTGAGCTACATTGAAGCCTAACACTGAAACTGAAGCTACAATTTAATTACATACAGGAACACTGAAATGGAAACTACATAATAATTAAAAAACAAACAGAAACTACAGTTACATTTTTATTAAACGTGACAGATATAGTTAAATGTACAGTTGAATTAAACACTAAAACTAGTCAAATTTATGCTTTTGTTAAATACAGAATATACAGTTAAATTTCCATTTTTATTAGACATGGTCACCTGAGAATAGTTCTACTCTCCACTCTCGAAAAACAGGTGCCAAAATGTTCCCAGTGGTCCATAAAAAATCAACCAAAACCAAAACTGCAAATAAAGTAACAGTAAACAGACAGCAGACGAAACAGCACGTCCCTCAGCAGGTACTGATGTAACTGTTTCTAAGTAAAGACATGGAATGGAAAGGTTGAAATGTGGCAGAGACTGAACACACACTCACAGCGTGGCTTCTACTGTGAGTCACGCCATTAAGAGACGCTTCTCCAGCAGGTCTCTCTCTCTCTGCCACGACTAAAATAGCACTCCGTTTTTCCATCTAATAACACCAAAACTTATGCAGCAGGGGGGTCTACTGCAGTCAGTGTCACCTCACATAGCCCAGCGCTGAAGCGTTTCCACGAACTGAAAACTGTCACACACTCAAGCAACGTCCCTTTGCCTGGAAACTGAGCTCCAGAGTGATGAAGAGTATCTGCTTGCTTGCGTGGCTGCTCAGCCTGAGCTGCATCTGTTTGATTGAGGGCATGCACTGAGATTATGAAATCTATTGGGGTAAAAGGGAATTCCAGGCAACAAACCTTACAGTCATTGCTGATTTCTCTTGCCGTCATCGCCAAGCTGGGGTCAGAGACTTTACACTACATCCCTACATCCTTAGCGCATCTACCTGCATGGGGATTCTGCACCATTTTGTAAATGACTGGACCACAAAAAGACCTCAGGGGCAGCTGGAGCTCCGTCAAGTTACAATCACCCATCAATCCCTGCATAAAATGACACTGGATGGATGAAGCGTGCCAGATAAGAGGAGTTTGCCAATGGAGGGAACCACTATACTGTTCATTATAGTTTTATACAATGCACTCTGTTACTACGATGTTCTGCTGTTTGCTCGAGACTGTGGTTTTTGCTTTGGTGTGTATAAGATGGAGAATTTTTTTTCTAAACTTCACAAAAACAGTGATACTCATTTCTCTGATTATTATCCAATTACCACATCTGGGTGTCCACAGCGCAACTGCTTACACTAATTACAAATGGGGCTGAGTGACGGATAAACATCTTATCACAATATAATTTTCAAATCAGTTTGATATTCATTTATTCCTAATGCTTAATCTAAAGCCTGACCAATAATTTGAACCCTGAGGAAAACAAAATGAACAAAATCTCAAGAAAAACAAACAGTTCCACACTGCAGTGGACGTGTGGTCTTTTTTTCCCGCCATCTCCTCTTGTTCCAAGCTGTTTTTAGTCTCCATTATTACACCAACAAAAATAGCTTGCCCTCTAATGGCCTGGCCCAAAATTCACCCTTGCAGTTTTGTGTGCTTGTGCATGCTTTCATGTGTTTTCCAGTTACTGTCCAAGTGTAATTCTAAACTGTGCAAAAGCACAGCAAGACCCCATTAAACACATCATTTCCCAAATACTGCATCAAAATATATACAATCATACGCACAACCCTGGTCAGATCACGTTTTGTTGGTTGGTCTTCTGAGTGAAAGTAAGTTATCATGTCATCTACAAACAACACACAAACATAAAATATACATGTGCCATGACTTTTGCACAGGCCACATATTGATCTCCATTTTTTAAAATTTGTTAAATAGATGCATTAAAATGCGCAGAAGTGTTTTCTCTGTAGATGATGTACAACATTTTTTCACTTAAAATAATCAACAAATCATGTCATTTAATCAGGGGCTATACCCAAACGTTTGCATAGGACTGTATGCGTTGCCCCAATATGCTCTTTCAGAAGTATCCAGGAAGATCGTTAAAGCCACGAGAACATCAGCAACTTCATGAATCAGCACAATCTATGTGCTTGTGCATGGACAGGCCATAATTCTCATAATGGTCACACCAGAGGCAGTTTAATGGGAGCCTGGCCACTTCCTATTTCTCCCATTATATCAAACAAATAACTGCAAAAATGTTAGAGGGCACTTGTGAGTCCTCAGTAAATGGGTGTAAATGGAGGTAAACGGCTAAAAATAAAACAAGTTTCTAGTCATTTTTAAGGGAACCTCATGTCATTTTGGAAGGTAGAAGGATGAAGGGTTTCTTCTACTAAAAAAAATCTAAGAAAACTTAACAGTATTTTCCATTTTGCTACAGCAAACAGGGCTTGTGATGTAGGATGCTAGCATTACTGCTACTGAGCACTGATTGGTTGGCAAGCTGATCAGCTCATTGGCTGAGTAATGTTCAGTTATATCACAAATGTATATGACTGGAGTTCAAAAATCTTTCCACCCATCTCTTGGGAAATTGGGTATTTTTTAGATTTACAAATATATTATGGCATAATGAAAAATTTTTCAGAGATAACCTGGGCATAGATACAGTTGCTAGGCCATGAAGGACCAACTGCGTGAACGAAATTGCTACAGCGCCACCCTGAGGCAGACCAGTGCTGCAGCTCTAGTTAAGTCAACATTACCAAAGACAGAAGCTCACCATTGTGAGAGAAGCAGCTAAACAATGAGTTTTTCCTTGTCAGACAGCATAACGTCATAATACGTTTAATTTCAGGTATCCCCCCCCCAGAATTTTGAGACATTCAGGGGGTTCAAGGGATTAATTAGGGGATCCAGGACCCCCCTGTATTTTGCACCTTGACTGAGATACGTAACCCATGTCTCAAAATACTCTAAACTCAACACAGATCCTTCTTTAAACCGTCTCTTCTACTTCATCTACACTGACTAGAGTGTATTTCACAGGTGAGGTCACTAATGGATCACAGCTTTCACTGGTCAAAGTCTCAAATATGCATTTGTATCATTTTTCTATACTCAGTACTGGTATATCACATCTAAAAGTATTCAAACAACTGCTGAACTACAATTCTGAGGGAAAAAAATAGTTCATGTTAGTGTCAGAACAAGGTATAGCACTCACAAACCTCCTCTGCTGACTTAAAGGTTAAAATATCATCTGTTGAAAGAGATTAAAGCCATAAAGCAGTGGTCAAGCAAAACTGCCCTGGCAGGTGCTTTCAGGGTCCACCGAACCCCCCCCCCACCGCAGTGAAGAACTGGGTCATATCACTGCGGGGGGTGATATGTTACTTCTACGTCTAGCGGACCAATCATGCACTGGAGAGGAGAGATAACACGGCATACCATTGCATCTGTGTTACAGTAGAGAGCATCACGCTGTCAGTTACAGCTGCAGTAAACAGGTCGAGGTGCTTTATGCTCGGCTCTGAGAGACACGAGAGAAGCCTCCATCCAATTCATCCATGTAGCCTGCTTCACAAACCCTGTGTAAATGTTGATGTATATAATAAGGATTCCTGGATCTAAGCCAATAAATGCACTCGAGTTAATGTTTAACTAATTTGTTTATCAGTGTGTTTTTGTGACTTCGTGTCAATGTGAAATGTGAGTACAAAACTGGAGGTTTTTAGCGGTGACTGTCAGGATCTTCTTGGGATTTCAATCCTAATTCGAATTACACCTTAAAGCTGAGCAGTGAATGCTGATGTATGATAACGATATTATGTAATAAGCCCCAGTAGCCCAACTCATGTGGCATAATGAAGTGCTTCCTCTGCACATTTCAATTCTAATTTTAACTCCCAAGGTCGACTTTGGGTACTCAATTAGATTCACATACATTACAACTTAAATCGGGGTAAAATGTCAGTTTTCTTAAGTTAGGATACAAATTACCCAAAGAAATCCACTTTTTTAAAATGTCTGCATAATTTAATTACTGTAATGTAAGCAAAAGTGACTCAAGAGTGTTTTGATGTGAAATAGTTCATTGTAGAAAAATTTGTGGTGGTCATAGGAACCATAGAACATACTGCCTACAACGCAAATATAGGCATTTTATTTACTATCTAAAACCACCTGTGGACCTACATATGTCGATATTGGTGTTGATAATGGGAAAACATCACAAAGTTTAATTAATAAAAAAAAAAGTCTTCGTTGTAGACTATTTCGCCTTAACATCGTGCCTGTATCCCTCTGTTTTTTTAAAAATATGTCTTATGCTGAAACTTTATCTCAAAACTATCATAAAACAATGTTTCAGGCACTAGGACTGTTAGCCATTTTGTGTAATAACATCCTGTGAGTGAGCTTTTCCTGTGAGGGAGCACTTGAGTTGTCTGGTTCCTATCACCACCGCTGTAAACAATTCGACTCTGTACTTTCTCTAGAACAGAGGATTTCATGCCAAACTGCTCTGAATGACTTTGCTTATGTTTTAACCATCAATCATGCAAAACTTTTTAAAGAAAAAATGGTGGGATTTATAAAAATGTTTTATAGAGGACAGGAAACTAGTGATTACAGTCTTTTCCATATTTGAATAATCTGAAGAGCTAAGTATTTAAGGTTGATGGTAATATGGCTGTACTTTCAGCAGGTTTGTAGAAGCATCTCAGGGAAATATGGAACATAAGGAAATGTGGATTGTCTAAATAAGGACTTTTACTGTGGAAAGAAACATCTAATATAAAACACAATTTGAAACAAACACAAATAAAAAGAATACATTCATAGTACTTTAGAATATCTTCGTTGTACAGAATCTCTATAAAACTGGAATATCCGCTCAGAGGCCTTCTGACTGACTGCTATACACTGCTGCAGCTGTGGGAAAAACAAAAAAAAAAAAATACTTTAAGTACTAATCTAGTGTGAAAAAAATACTCCTCAACACACAACAGTACAGGTTAAGGTACACACTAGAGCTGGATAATATATCGCTTGTATAATATAACAATACAGACTTTTTAAGACGTAGATCATTCTGTAGTCGGCGTCATGCCCACATTGGGAACTTTCTCAGAGAAAAACGAATGTTTTCAGAATAATTATCTCCATCACACCCTGTGGCACAAACTTACAAGTGTTACTGCATCCTCTCAATTACAAGGAATGATCTTTAAAAATGGCATTATTTTTTCCATTAAAAAAAAAAAGCTTAGACCTGGAGTTCCTAAAATGGGCATGATAATGACTACAGAACGATTTGCTATGCGCTTTCTGACCAATCACAGGTCCAGAAGGGCATTCTGATCAATGTATTCACATAATTAAACAAAAGTAAGTGTGGTCAAAATAAAAAAATAAAAAAAATAAAAATTTATATATATATATATATATATATATATATATATATATATATATATATATATATATATATGTATGTATGTATATCTCGCTGCTGTCAGAAGAAAACCTTGTATCTCAAAATGGTAACTTTACAGGAGAAGGAAAAAACCTACTTTACTTTTAATGTAAGTCAATGGAACCAGACTTTTTTTCCCCAGTCATTTTGGCCTGTTTCTTTCTTCTTCTACTATATATATATATATCTTACTAAGTATTTTGTACATATCATGCAGCCCTGGTATGCACATAAACGAATGAGTAACAATACCTCATGTGAACTTACCTCTTTAACAGAGAAAGAACCTTTTGTCGATGATGTCATTATATTGCGGTCTTTACTGTCAATCGCAAAGGTCATTAGTGCTCGACTTTCCTGAAATGGAATAAACACTGCTCAGGCTAAAGGGAACACATCCAAATCTACATTTAAAACAGTGAGCCAAAATGCACTGTGACTGAATTTGAAATGAGGACACAAAATCAGAGGAGTGCTTTTCCTCTGGGGTACAGAAACTGGCCCACACCTTCTCCTGCTGAGCCGTGGGGTCTGTAATGATTTGACTTTCCGCATCAATGGCGCAGGTCACGCCACAGAACAAGCGGCCCATCGGCAGCCCGGCGTCCATCAGCGCCATGCAGGCAGCGTTCAGGTAGCAGGACAACAACTGAGAGCCAGATAAGGACTCAACCCATGAGATACACACACAGACAAACAGGCACAGAACCATGACAGATAAACACCATTACATTCTTAAAAACAAGGTGAAATGATGTAGAAGAACCACTTTTTATAAAGGACCTTTTAATGGATGGTTCTTTAAAGGGGAACAGTCCGTTTAGTAATTTTTTCATGTCAAAGGTGTGGCATCATGCCAGACGTTTGAGGAGACAATGTTTTTAATGTCAAAGCCATTTCAGTCCAAACTTCATTTCTTCTTGTGTTCTTCCAGCTTGAGGTGTTCTGAGCACACGTAAATGCTTCCCAGAACAAATGGTGGGTTTTGTGGCAGTTCGGGTTACTTATATTGCCAGCAACTTTTAAAAAGTTTTAAAGACTGGCTTTCCTTCCTTCACACATTGGTATATTGACTAACCCGGAGTGAAGACTGTATTAATTCAACAGAAAATGTAGATCTTTACTGAAGTTGCAATTTTTAGTGATCTGTGGCAGATGAGGGGGTGTAGTCACGCCCCATAGCCATGCCCCCATCAACAGTTCAAGGAACTGTTGGAGGTGTTAGGAATCAAGATTCTGCAACAAAACAACTCAATATCTCTAGAACTGTGTTGCAAAAATGTCATGATTTATTTTAAGTTTATTTAGTAGCCTGGAAAACTGATAAACACTATATGACAGCGTGACTGGTTCCCTTCAATGCAGTGGTTGTCAAAACGTTCCTCATGGACCTCCTGACGGTCCAGATTTGGCCCGTATGATTTTGCTGGCCAGAAGGTTGCCCTAAATCCCAAGAACACACACACGTTTTATTTTATATTTAAATGATTAGATTCTTCTTTTCCTTTTGAAAACATACAAGTCTAGGCAAAAAAAAAAAAGTTTTATGCAGATCCATAAGTCCAAGCCAAGAACAATTTAGGAACCCTTATTTTTGAGAGTGTAGAAGTCTGCTTTGGTTCTATGAAGGATACAGAGCCGTCGTCATGCACCTCTTGGAGGATGAGTGTGAGGGAGGAACGAGGGTGAAGAGTGGACAGCAGAGCAGCTTCGCACGTCTCCCGCACGCACTGCTCTCTCGCACGCTCCCGGACACCTGAGGAACCGGATCAGCAGAAGCTCAGAGGACGTTCATCATGCCCAAACAGAATTTAGCCTTTGTGTGACTGCCACCCAGTGGAGAGAAGCGGTAACAACTTCCAGGGTCAAAACACAAATAAATCTTCATTCTATTGCAGATCCTGGCAACCCCACACCATGGACTTATATGTGCTTTGTTTCATCCAGAACATCCAGAGCTCCTCATAAGCAGGGTCAGGTATGTAGAGTAGAGAAAACACAAAAATATGTAGAGCATGGAGTTGCCAGGACTGAGACTTCTGTTCTAGATGCTCTACACCTGGTCCAACACTGGTAGGGTAATTTTAAACCTACAATGTGTACATATACACACATATATGTATATGTATAATAATAAATGTGATACTGATACATATATCAGTATCACATTTATTATTATTTAAAAGAAGGTATCAAAGAAAGTACTTCCAGTAATTTGTATCAAGATATCAGTGTTGTTATCTGTATTTATAAATTCTGAACGATACCCAGTCCTATGCTGGATCTGAACACACATACTTGGCATGCCCACTTTAGGCTGGATCACCACCTCCAGGGTCGCCCGGTCATAGATCTCCTTGCTCACTTTAACTTCAGCTGGTCCATAAACTCCTGCCAGGACACTGGTGTCCCCTGTAAACATATTTTTAGAAGATAAACAGAGCAGAGCATGGAGGTGAGCTGCACTGACTTTTCAGAAAATCTGCATAATTCAATGTTTGAGATGTAAACATCATTCAGAGTGGGTTGACGTGAAACAGGTAAACACAGAGAAACTTACTGACTGGGATTTCTTTACCGTGGTGGTGATAGGAACCAGGATGGCTGTTGCTATTCAAACACGTTTTCTGAGTTATTGTATGTAATGTTGATAATGGTAAAATAGAGGCAAATAAGAAAAACATGTTTTCTTCTGCCACTATTCTGCCTTACAGCAGGGCGGACACAACTCCGGTCCTGAAGAGCCAGTGTCCAGCACAGTTTGGGGATTTAAATGCTCAAACACACCTGACTCAACACCTTGGTTAAATGCCAGGTTTACTGGGTGTGCTTAAGTAGGGAAACTACTAAACTGAACTGGACACCAGCCCTCCACTCCATGACTGGAGCACCCCTGCCTTACAGTGTCCTGTATGGATCCTTAAAAATACAATTTGGGGTCATAAGCTTATCTGAAGTGCACCATAAAACAGACTCGGTCTCAGACACTATAACCATTCCAAGCAATAACTAACAGGTGTTAAACTCTTCAGATGTCTGGTTCTGGTTCCTATCACCACCACTGTGAACAACTCTGACTCGCTAAGTTTCTCTAGAACGGAGCGTTTCACGCCAAACCACTATGAATGAGTTTGTTTACATCTTTTCCACCTCATTAAGAACGGATTTTGATAAATCAGTGGGATTTCTCTTTAAAGCAGCACCAGAAAACCAGACGAGCAGAAACCAGAGGCCGCTTCACCGCGTTGGCTCAGACACAGCTGCAGAGAGACAGCAGTGAAATGTGACTCGAATCTGACTGAACCGTGAGGCAGTGTGAGGGTAAATACCCTGAATGAAGGAGGCTGATCCGTCGGGCTTAGACAGGAGGTTCTGTTCGCTGCCGTATTCTCTCAGAACCGAACACACATCGCCCTCCATCACGCTGCTGCAGCACCGCCGGCGCACTTCCACACGGTCACTGTCCGGCGCGCCGACTGATGACGACAGAACTAAAACAAAAGACTTCTTTTCATGCATTTATCCACGCCAACAAATATTAAGGGTCAAATTTTGTATTATTGTCATTTATTTAATTTAAATTATTATTATGTATTTATCTATATTTTAATTCTATTTTATTTGTCTATTTTTTTTACCTAATTTTACGTTGTTATTAACATGTGAATGTAATGTATTGTCTTTTCATTTGAATAGGTTCAATATAAATATCTTTGATATACATTTCAAAGATATAATTCTTCCAAGATGTAATTGGAGCTGTACTTTATCCCTGTACATAATTATTTAAGTAAATAAATAAGTAAATAAATAAATAAATAAAAAGCTATTTATCCACATAAGCATTTACTTGCTTATGAAAACAGTAATACTAGAATAAATCCAAATCATATTTATACAATATGCAGTGGTTTATATGTTTTGTGTTAGTTTCACCATTTCCAACCCTCTCCTCTACGAAGTCCAGTTTTGAGTCAAACTTTGTTCTTTCTAACTAGATCACAAGACATCCACTACTTTTCTGATATCAAGAAATTCTTATTACTTTTTTTTGCTGAATTGATGTTTTTACGTATTTATTCTCATGCCACATAGACTTTTGCTGGACACACATGTACAGTTGAGATTTTATGTAAATAAACAACAAACTAAACAAATAAAAACAAACAAATAAGCAAAGGAAACAAACAATCCATTAATTATATATTCATTTTCTACAGTTTATTATTCTAGTTTTTTTTTCTGTACATCAGTTCTTTAGTAGGTTCACTACAGTATACTATAGCAATGTAGTAAAATCATTTTATAATAGTTTACAGTGAATTTCAATAAGCAATAGACACTGCAGTGTTACATTAGAATACTATATAAAACTAGATTTACATTTACATTTACAGCATTAAGCAGACGCTCTTATCCAGAGCGACTTACAAAAAGTGCTTTGTCTATCCAGAGAAAGTATCTTCGCTAGTTACCAATAGGTTAGAGAGAAAGTCAGTCCTGAGCTCAGATACTGCTAGAATCAGAAAGTCATTGACACCTAGAGAAAAAGGAACAGAGTTAAACACAGAGCAGTGCACTACAATACAATACAATACTTAGTTAAAACTAGATTTCATAAAACCAGAGCAAACATGCAGTATACAGACACCATAACAAACACTAGTATTACACTAGAACAACATAAAACTGTAGTAACACCACACTGTGGCACATGGTGTCTGTATTCATATGGGATGAAAGACTTCAGTATAAGCAGTGGGTTCATCCTCTCCTGTAGGGGGCGTCTGTCTGACGGGCCACACGCTGAAGACAGTCAAGCTGGAACATGGCGACTGTGAGGGGTCTGCAGAAATGGGTCGGCATCGGTTTTCATGCGTTTCGCCAACGTTCAGCTTTGAATTCGTCCAGAGTGCTGCAGCAGAGAGCTTTCCGCCTCAGCGTAAGAGCACCTTCACTCTCAGCTGCCGGCGCCATTCATCAGCGCAGGGTTCCTCTCCCGGGTGTTCGAGACCGAACCTGTACCAGCTAAAGGTGTCTCCTTATTCGAGTTTTCCGTTCCACCTTAAATTCTCCAGCTGTTCCATGCTGACACCTCAGACGACAGAATGTAACTGCTGGACCATTTAAGGTGGAACGGAAATTCGAATATGAAGCGAACCTGGGCGAATAGTTGGGGTTTCTACAGCGGTGTTTGGAGCTCTGGAACGCTGCTTGCACACCGGCACTCTGTATTCAGCTTTGTTGTCAGTCGTCTTTGTAACCTGTACGTGTGTGTGGTTGTGAATGTTTTAGACAGACAGCAGTAAAGAGCGGTTATTATGAAGTTTAGGTGTTTATAACTCTTTTTGTGGTGTTGATCTCGACTAACCGGAGATGTTTACAAAATCAGTCTTATTCTGTCGGAGAGAAACCGACTACTGCGCATGCGCATAACCTTCACGGCGCTTCGCCGTATCCCTCCGCGCTGATTGGTCTGTTTCGGGGGGTGTGGATTAAGACACACAATGTACTACAAATATGTTAAATAGTTCTAATTCTCCTGTTATCTTTAAGGTCAGTTTAAACCCCATTCAGTGTTTAACATCTCTAAATAAATGATTGACATCATTCTTTCCTTCATATTTAATGGCTTTTCCTAATTTAATGGGAACAACTGGGTAAACATAAAATTAACGTGATGATAACAGGAGGGTAAAACTATATTACATATATTTTTTCCTACATACAACGAGTATAAATGATCTCTATTAAACTTTATATGGCTTTTTGTTGTTAGATATTGTAGATCAGTGGCCAATTACATCACACATCACGGTGCATAAAACATCTTCAGTTTTTATTCAAATTAAAATGCTTAGGGGCTGAATTTGAAGCTTTAAATTTAAATTATGCAGCAGTCCAAATTTGTAAGTCTTAAATTTAGGGTCTAGAATTTAGTTAACAATAGATTTTTTTGAACACTTCCTTTTTAAGAAAATTAAAAGGGCTCATGTCCTACATTTTCTTGTATTTTTTTATTTTATTTTGTTTATTTTTTGAACCTGAAGTCCATTTATAACAGCTTTTAGGGTTTCTGTACTAAAAAAAACAGTTGTAATTCTATTTTACATGACCATATAAAATGACCAGCTTCTCTTTATTTGTTAGAATTAAACAGGATGTTCCTGCTACTCTGCCTTTGAGACTGATGGATGTAAATGAGCACTGTTGTGATTGGCTGTTGTGCACAGTGCCTCATTTAAAAAGTAGTCCAGGCTTAAAAAACTTCAGTGTGAATGGGCAGGGCTAGACTGCTGCAGGCAGTTTCTATATATGGACTGTATAGAATAGGGAGTAAATGGTATGTGTCAAAGCTTTAACATTCCACATCACTCTTTTATATGAAAAAAGTGCAGACAACTTGGTTTTCCATTATACGGGCTGTTTAAAATATATTAGAAGCTGGTAGCTAGCTAATGTATTAGGCCATTCTGTTTACCATGTATCTAACCAGGATGTTTTATCACCAGTATTTTCAAACACAGTGTTTGTAATCCACTCTTGCAGCGCCACAACCCTCATGGAGTCTATAGACCCACGTTGTGCAGCTTATACGTCATGTATGGGGATGACCTGCATTTCTATGGTTTAATTCACATTTCTCTGTCCCGTCGCAGGGAGCTCGGTGCCAGCAGCCTTTCGATTCGTCGGTGGAGAAGCCTCAGTTCCCTGGGGCCTCTGCAGAGTTTGTGGATCATCTTGAGTTCATCCAGCCCAACGTGATCTCAGGAATCCCCATCTACAGAGTCATGGACAGGCAGGGACAGATAATCAACCCCTCAGAGGATCCGAAGGTAATGAGATTACACCATGTGACTTAGAGGTGCAGTGTGACGATGTGTTATTGTTATGCTGGTTTCCTGTGAATCATCAGGACTTCTAGAACACTGAACAACTGCATTTATCATAAAAAGACTTACAGAGCAATTACAGAGAGCCTGTAAACAACAACTGGTGTGTAGTAACTGCATAAGTTAATCACTTACAGTGCAAATGTAAACAGCAGCTTTCATTATTCACATTATTACTGTTGTTGTCTTTGTTTGTTTTTTGTTTTACATTATTACATTGTTTATTATAACTCAGTTACTCGGTTGTTTTAGTATTATAGGGCATTGGATACAATTAGTAGGCTAATGGTAGCAGTAAAAATGAGCCAAAAAGACTTATTTATATTTTGCTTACACATGATTGATTTAAAAGGACAACAATGTGTAGCTTAAACAAGTAAAGTCATTTATAACTGAGTCAAAACATCATAAGTCAGTAATTTTAAGCAAAAATAAAAAAGCAGTCATTTGGTTCATGGCTAAATTAGACTGTTACCTCCTTTACTTTCAGTTTGAGATGACTGATGACACTGTTTACAGACATCAATGATGTTACCCTTATCATCTGTCTAGAAAGGGAAATATTTCGATATGTGAGTTTTGCTGATGTTATTTGACAGCTCTGTTTGCTGAAGCAGCAGATTTAGATGCCATCATCATTGTGGTTTGCTCGTAGGTCAGTGGGTGTTCCCAAGATTTCCATAGAAAACCGGTACCATTGTGTTTTTTTGGATAAATTACATTGACTCGGCGCCAAAGCACCAGTTCTTGTGACATATCTTTACCCAGTACCTGACTCAGTGTAGCCCATTATGCAATTAATATACTTTAAAAATTAATTTCACAAATTGTTTGTAGAAATAATAAAGTTTTCCCACCTTCTGTACCATCTTAAGTATGTAATATTTGCAAATGCAAAATTGAAAAAATATATACTCAGTTTTTTCATAGCCTATTTTGGTCTTTTTTCCATTTCAACTACACATTGTAGCACAAACAAAAACATAAAGGGTAGTAGAGTAATTTGTGTGTGATAATCTACTTTTCAATGCTCATCTTAAGTGAACTGCTACAATTAAAATATTAAAGCTTATAGTTGTTAAAGAATTGTTGGATCAGTATGGGCTGATACTCCCGGTTTCATTGGTATTGGAAAAGAATGTGGTCTATACTTTTGTTATATAACTGTAATTATTCTGTCATATAAATGTTTCACTCAGGCCTGTGCTGGGAACAAAGTCCTCTGATTCGAGTAACTGCATTGAAAATAACCATGGGTAAATTTACTGCCAGGGGCCGTCTTAAAATGACCAGATTATTGTTTTACATTTTTTTAAACCATGTTCTTGAGTGGGAATATTAGTGGCTTGCAATGGTTCACACAAAATAAATCAATAAATCATTTTAATTAAATGAGGTTTTTAAACTGGTTGTAAATCAGTTCATCATTCAGATCACTGGAGGCTGTTACCGTGGTAACTTGGTTAACCGTCAAAGGGCGCAGACCTGGTTTCACCTCTATTCACAATCTTCCTATATAATGTAAATGTTCTCTAACTATAGTTTTCTGTTATTGTTTCTCAGCTTCCAAAAGAGACCGTATTGAATTTCTATCAGAAGATGACGCTGCTCAACACAATGGATCGCATTCTGTACGAGTCTCAGAGACAGGTAGAGAGTCTGATGGAGCTGCTTGGATCTCAGCTTTGATTTTCTGTCCTGTGAATGTTGATTAAAGAGGTATGGAGACTAAAGAGTGGTTGTATGGACTTGACTAATGTCTGATTCTGGATTGAAGGGCCGTATCTCATTCTACATGACGAATTACGGTGAGGAGGGCACACACATAGGAAGTGCTGCAGCTCTGGACCCCAATGACCTGGTCTTTGGACAGTACCGAGAGGCAGGTGAGAATCAGCTTTTCAAAATCTACTAAAATCTAGATCATGACAGCTGGCTCAGTATTTAATCGCTGGCATAATGAAGTGACAGATGTAACTAGAATTATTTCACCTAGAAATGAGAACTTTTGATGAAAGGTCTGCAGTGAGATGGAGTTTTTGATATTTTTAATGGAGTGATTTTGTTCTTTTTTGTAGTGGTTCTACTGTATTATAGTAGTACTTAAAATAAAATGGTGTTCTTTGGTTAATGTTGATATGTATGTGATTTCTCTATGCTGCAGGAGTGCTGATGTACCGGGGTTTCCCTCTGGATCTCTTCATGGCTCAGTGCTACGCCAATGCTGATGACCTTGGCAAGGGCCGGCAGATGCCCGTTCACTACGGCTGCAGAGACCTCAACTTTGTGACCATCTCTTCACCTCTGGCCACTCAGCTTCCCCAGGGTGAGAGATAATAAACCACAGTGCACCGCATTCAATAAAATATCATCACTGTCATAATAAAAACTTTTAACTGCATATTTATTTTTACATCATTTGAAAATTAAGATGGCCTTTATGTTGCATGAATGTTTCATGACCATTGAATCAACAGAAATGGTCCAAAATTAGTTGAAATAAAACTTTGTCACATTAACGTATATTAAAATTAAAAGGCCCATATCACAAAAACTTCCTTTTTTGAAATATAAGAGCTTAATATAGTAAGTGAACATTGTTAAAGTTTCAAAATGTACCATTCACTGTGCACTTCACACAGTCCAGCTATAGTTAATAAGCTTGGAGTTTCTGTTTCTGTTTTTTTGTGATGTCACTTACACATATCTGCCTTTTAGCCTACAAGCAGTTTAGCCCCGCCCATTTACGCTGAAGTTATAAGGGGTGTTTCAGCCTGGCACAATACAGAAGCCAGTCAGAAAAGAGATCGTTTGCATTTATTAGTCTTAAAGAAATAGTAGCTAAACCAGCCTGTTTAATCCTGAAGGATAAAGAGAGGTTGGAAAATATCCATCCATCCATCATCTAAACCGCTTATCCTTCTGGGTCACGGTGGGGTGCTGGAGCCTATCCCAGCTGTCATTGGGCGGAAGGCAGGATACACCCTGGACAGGTCGCCAGTCCATCGCAGGGCAGACAGACAGACATACACAGTCACACACACTCACACTCACACCTAGGGGCAATTTTAGCATGTCCACTCAGCCTGACTGCATGTCTTTGGACTGTGGGAGGAAACCAGAGTACCCGGAGGAAACCCACGCAGACACGGGGAGAACAACTCCACACAGAAATGACCCTGGTCACCTGGCCGGGAATCGAACCCAGGCCATTCTTGCTGTGAGGCGACAGAGCTACCCACTGCGCCACCGTGCCGCCCGGGTGGAAAATAGTCATGTGAAAATGAATCTTGGAACATAAACTCACACGTTACAAGTGGACCTTTCAAAAAATATAGGATACGGGCCCTTTAAGAACTTTGTCTTTATCCTGTAGGAGTAAGTTTTTACTGAGGTTTGGTTATGACTCTGCAACATCTTATAAATGTGCATTGTTGAGTAAATCACTTACACTGACCTGGAGTTTGGTCATCAGGCACAAATGCTTTAATATGGAATTGTCAAGTCTTTATTTTTTTATTCATATTTTTCTTGTTTTATTGTTTGCTATCTGGTGTCAACTAGAGGAGGATCGGTTCCCCTTTTAGGCTTGGTTCTTCTCAAGGTTCCTTCCTCCTGCTCTGGTTTTTTCCTTGCCTTTGTAGCCCTTGGCTCGGTCATTTGGGGAATGGACCTGAGTTTTCTATAAAGCTGCTTTGTGCTCTAAATGTGTGAAAAGTGCTTTAGAAATGAATTAGAATTGAATTGATCTTCTCCAGCAGTATTTTGAGACCTGACTTGTCGCTCCTGCTTTTAGCTTACAAACTTATGGCTTAGATGTATATCATGTGCTTGTAGCACCTACTGAGAAAAGCCATGTTCATGGGAGAATACATTTGCCTCCCAAATATATATGTTATAATAAATTAGAAAGTTTAATAACTGGATCTTTGTTGTTCTGTCGGACATTAGTTATTTTTAATGGGGGAAAAAAAACTTCCAGCGGAGTGGACGTAACTATATAACTGAAAACTGAATAAATAAAAACAGAATGCAGATAATTAAAATGTCCTTGTTTATGGCTGCTGTAGCGGCGGGAGCGGCGTATGCTCTGAAGCGAGAGAATTCGAACCGAGCTGTGATCTGTTACTTCGGTGAGGGAGCTGCCAGTGAAGGCGACGCTCACGCTGGCTTCAACTTCTCCGCCACCCTCGAGTGCCCACTTATATTCTTCTGCCGCAACAACGGCTACGCCATCTCTACCCCTACCAACGAGCAGTACAGAGGAGATGGAATCGGTAAGACTTATCTTTATGTTTACACACAGTTATTACAACATTATCTCATGTTGTTATAGCCTCTCTTTTAGCACCCTCAAGTCATTTTCTCTGTAGAACTGTGATTTGAGGTTTACAGAGCCCATACGTTTTTACATTTATAGTTTGATGTAGTACATACTATGCAAGCATTAACATTTCAAGGCGTACCAGCCGTTCCCTCTGTCTTTACGGTCCATACAGTCAGAGAAAAAAACAGCCCATTTTAGATTTGTCATGGTTGTGATGTTGCAGGTTGTTCCACACATTTTAGCTTTGTTGGCTTTTTGAACAAGACAGAAGACAGAATACAGAACAGAGGTCAGGTACATATGTCAGTCTTAAAACTTGTTTGGTTCCACCGTGCCAGTAACTTCTTTTTTGTTTATGATTTAAATATTCCATCATATTCTATTAAAAAACGTACTTGTGCGTCTGCTTACATTCTGTGTAGCACAAATGAAGCTGATTCATTGTATCGTATTGTCCTAGCCCAAGCGAACAACTTCGAACATTAAAACAAGTAAAATGACAGAGAAAAATGTTTGATTTAATGTACCAGTCTTGATTGTGGGTTGTACATTTCCAAGCTAATGTCTAATGAGACTAATGACTTTTGCGCACACGTAAAACAGATGGATGGGTTCATTTTAATTGAGATTAATACGGATTTGATCCACTGTATTTGCATATCTGCTGGTAGGTGATTGTCAGGCTCAGCTTCTCTTTTTCACTTTTCCTTTGTTTTCTCTCTGTAGCTGCACGAGGTCCAGGTTACGGCATGCTGTCCATCCGCGTGGATGGAAACGACGTCTTTGCGGTGTACAACGTCACGAAGGAAGCGCGGCGGAGAGCCGTGGCTGAAAACCAGCCCTTCCTCATCGAAGCCATGACCTACAGGTACAACACCACTGTTCTGATCACTGTGTTCAATAATGCAGAGCCACTTTTGCTGCAGTTAAATCGCCCCCTATGGTGATAAAGGAATCCTGACTACTAGTGTCACCTCTGATGTAGAGGCTAATAAATACAGATGTGATATTTGGCTTTCTAGCAGTTGTGTTGGCTGTTTGGCTTTGTTTTGCATCAGCCAGTTTGCAGAAAAAAAAAATCAGTACACCCTCAAGTATTTGCCACAAAGTTCTTGTACTTACTTCCTCCTCATCATCAGAAAGGGGTTTTCCTAGTCTTTAAACAAGAAAATCTCACTGTGGACTACTGTGGCAGCGCTGTAGGAGGTGGGTAGGCATATTTCCAACAGATGTAGCGATGGTTAGGTTTTGGCTGTAGTGTTCCTTTAACCTTGCCTACAAGGGTAGGTTATAACATTTGCACTCACTTTGCTGTCAGCTGAATTGTTCATAACTGAAGTCTTCAAAACAATGTTTGGATTTTTATTTGAAACAGAAATCTAGAAATCTTTAACAAATCTTGCTTAAAAACTTTTTAAACTTGGGAACCCTGACTGTTGAGACATGTAAGCCTCAATGTAGTGTGCAGGTCCAGTACTACTCAAATATGATGTATAAACCAAGCAAAATATTTTACATATTTGTAGAAATAAACAAAATAGCTTTATTAAGGCTGCCATTTTTGTTTTGGTATAAAATTGTTGCTCTTTCTCTTCTCGTCCACTGAGCGAAAAACGGTGAGTTAACTATCTGATTTAACTCAAATATATCATTCAGCCTTTCCAACTTTAGCTAGAGTGTTACATTTTTTGCATTACATGCATACATACTTATAGAGTCACATAGTTTTTTGTTGTCTTATTTTCAGTAGGACTGTATTCAGTGCAACCATATGACATCACAGTGTAACAATGGTGATGTACTAGTAGAGAGATTTTGCCGGTTTGTCATGTTTTGTATGGTAAACAAAAGCTTTTAATTTGATTTATACATCATATTTGAATAATATTAGACATGTACACTATTTTAAGGCATACAAGTCTTAACTCTGGGTTCTCTTTAAATACTTTTACAGTTATTTAGCAAAAAACAAAATGTGTACTTCACAAATTTACAAGCCTAAAATAATTTACAGGAAGCTGTAAAGAAAAAAAACAAATTGTAGACGTGTCCAGTATGAACCAGAGATTACAATGTTTCTGTCTAGTCTGTATAAAATATTAATAAAGTATAACAACAGTTTAAGCTCTTATTCTCCAGGGTATATTTTGGTTTGTCCATCTGAATTTACATGACCAAATCGTAAGGCAAGTTATTCAATAACTGTATGAAGTAAATATAAATTTTTTATTTTGTTTATTTATTTATAAGTTCTCCTCAAAATTAACAGAACGTGTTTTATGATACACATATTGCTATATGCTTACAATTTACTGCTGAAAGCCAAAAATCTTAGACGCCATTTTTTTATAAACATAATTTGTACAGAGCAGATCACTGAAGAGACGCCGTCTGTTTGTAGTTTATACCCCAGATTTGTGGAAAAATGGGTCGACTTGCAGTAGACAAAAAAAAAAATTGTGAGTTTTATTATCAGGGTTTAAAATTACATCACCCATCTATTTGACTGGAAAGAAGACAGTTACAGCTCTCATACGACCCCCACCTTTTGAATGTAGCTTATGAAATATGAAAGTTATGAAGAATATGACGAAGTGCGTTTTGGAACCACTGGTGGTCTCAAGGAGTTGAAAAGGTTACGAAAATGAAGTGTTTATAGACTGTTGAATAGCAGTGAGCTCTTCTGAGCACGCAGCTGTTGTGCCCCTTTTCCTCTTCCGCTTTGTACGTGATGGTAAAGATGATGGCTTTTCTTGGCCTTAGGATCGGCCACCACAGCACCAGCGACGACAGCTCAGCCTACCGCTCGGTGGATGAGGTAAACTACTGGGACAAGCAGGACCACCCCATCTCCCGCCTGCGGCACTACATGACAGCCTGCGGCTGGTGGGGGGAGGAGGAGGAGCGGGCTTGGAGGAAGCAGTCCCGCAAACTCGTCATGGAGGCGTTCGAGAGGGCCGAGAGGCGCCTCAAACCCCACCCGGACCTGATGTTCACCGACGTCTACAACGAGATGACCCCCGGCCTTGCCCAGCAGAAAGAGTCCTTCTGGAGGCACATTCAGCAGTACAAGGAGCACTACCCACTGGACCTCTACGAAAAGTAAAGTAATCACTCCATTTCAGAGGAGGGGGGTGAGAAAGGACCCGGGCCCAATTCAAAATAAAGTTTAGCCTCTGTTCTCTTCCCATAGCCACTTACTTTTGAGGTTATACGAAGGTGATTTTCAACCCTTAGAAGTTGAGATGTTGTTGTTATTTTGCTGTACTATTTAAATGTAATTACATAAGCAACTACATAGTTACATAAGGCATTACGTTTTCGTTAGCTTTACATCCTGTATCGACAGATTTGAATCTGAACATCTGACTTTAAAATGTAAAGGATGAATTTTCCTGTATGTATCGTATGAGCTCTATACTCCACCATAGGGCAGTGAAGAACCTGCGTCTTATGTTCATCACAGTTTCTAATCGGTTTAGTCTAAAGAAGGAAACACAGAAAGACTTCTGCAGCCGTCTGAAGGTGGACGGGAATCGCCACGTCGCACAGCTGTAGCTCATCATCACGGAAATTCACTTATAAACACTTGATGGAATAAAACTTCCAGCGTCATTTAGTGCAGCATTGTTTGGTGTCAACTAACTTTGCTCTTCACATCGCTGCTGTTTTTGAGCTAAAATATAGGAGGTGAAATATGATGTGACTGGGAACATTAGCATTCAGCAACAGTTAGCAGTTGGTTATCTTAAAGACCTCAGATTTGCCACCTTTCTTGGTAAATTTCAAGCCACTTGTCACCTATTAAGGATTTATGTTATGGGTTTAAAATCATGTAGCAGTAATTAAGATGGAATTGTGTACCTGCCTCTTGTGGCGTTTGGATGAGACGGGAGGTCAATCTGAATATCGCTTTGACTGAAATGCCGATCGCTAGTAGAGAGCAGGAGTAGTGAGTAGGGGTTTCAAAATTTTCTTTTGGATTGGGATCAGCCCAGAGAGAGCGAGAGCCTGAAGACACAAAGGGATTGATTGACGGTAGTTGCACATGTGTGAATTTCTATTTCTATGCATTACGTTTTTAGTAATTCCATTCCGTTTCTTTGCGCCAGAGGACACAGCTGAAGAGGGATGATTGTTTTTTCCAATGTTTGCCACTAGGGGCCACCCTAACGTGCCTTTGAATTATAGACTAGCGTGGCGGTCTTGGTGAGCCTGTCTTTGGCAGAGCTGTCGTAGTTCTCAGCGTGTACATCACCACTACATTTGACAAGGAATTAAACTGTTCAGTGAACATAGTTTGTGTAGATCTTTATGTAAATCCGGTTTGATTCCCATGATCTTTTTTTTGAAGTGATCAACTCTAACAGAGATGCATATATCTTTGAGTGAACTTGAATTAGCTGTATCCACACAGATTGTTTTAACCTCATTTCAGTATGTTCAGTAAGTGTAGACCTACACAGTGACACTAGATCAGTGCTTTCATGTTTTCATGACTCTCTGCCTTCACAGTTCTTTGAATGTGATGTGGTTAGTAAACTAAAAAAAACACTTTTTCTCCCAGCTTTGGGACAAACAAGCTAGGTTTCATGTTGTGTAAAAGGTTACTGTAAAAGTCCTGGCAGGATGGGTCTGGGTGTATTTTTGTGTTATTTAGTTTGGGTTTAGTTTTTGAATTATGATTTTTTTTTTCTTTTGTTGATGGTGTTTTACTGTCCTCTAGATTTCTAGTCCAAACTGCAGTTTTTCCAGATTTCTTTAACTGTTACAGCTCTTAACTTCAGGATGGCATTTGATCAAATGTTGAGGGGTTAAATTATGCTTGAAACATCAATAAAAAGCATGTAAAACGTGGTTACACCTGTAAACGTGTGCTTATATTTTTGTAAAAAGTGAGCCTGTATGTTTGCTATGAAGAATAATGTAAACCTTTTTATACTGTTCTTAAACAGCGTTACCTGTTGTGTTTAAGGTGCTTTTTCTAAGTTGGTCAATAGACAAAGAAAAAAACAGACTTAAAAATGTCTATTTTTACAGATCTAACCTGTAATGAGGGTGTTGGTGCCGTTTCAGGTAAATATAGTCACCTGTTAGCATGATAGTGACATACTAACCTGTTTACCTAATGGTCATAACTGTCCAGTTTATTAGGTAGATCTACCTTGTACCTCCACTCCTTGTCCTTTAATACTTTATTTAGGTAGCCCACTGTAGATGTTGTATACAGTGGGGGAAATATTTCCAATGCAGCTATTAGCATGAAATTTTGACCAGATATTGGTATTAACTTAATTAATTAATTAATTAATTTAAACTACAGTCAATAAAACTAAAGAAATCACAACATTCCAAATCCATAAAAAAACATATGTGAAATGAAGATAAATGACACAGGAGAACCATGTTGAGCACAATAGGAAAAAGCACTAAACCATCTGATTCCTCTCATTAGCTCAGGTGGTTCTACCTGTGCTGATTAGTATCCACTGGGTTTGTGCAGGTTGGTAGGTTACTGAACCCACCTCTGAATGCAAGTAATCAATCTTTTGTCACCAAGTCATCATGCAAGAAACATGGGTAGAGGCCAAGAGCTCTCCCAAGACAGTTGAGCAGCTAGCCATGGCACTGGTTACCAACAGATTTCTTAACTCCTAAATGTTCCTATAAGCACCATTAGGGCTATTATTAGCAAGAGGAACACTCAACCATCAACCGGCCTCGCACAGGAGCTCCTCACAAGATTTCCAACTGGGCAGTCAAAAAGAAGAGTAGCCCCAGTCCACTCAAAAAGAGTCCACAGAGAAAACCATAGGTGATGCACTCCACCACCACCACCACCACCACCACCACCATCTCCATTCGCAAACCCCCTAAAGACTCCATTACTGAAGAAAAGGCATGTTGAAGCTTGTTTGAAGTTTGCTACAGAACATCTGGAGAAGCGTGTAGATCACCGAGAGAATGTAGTGTGGTGGGACGAGACACTAATGGATCTTTTCAGCAATACGTGCCAAGTTTGGAGGAGAAATGGCTCTGCATATCACCAAACCCACAGGGAGGTTCAGAGTTGGAAGCGTCTTGGTATGAAGCTGTTTCTCTTCTCATGATATCAGTGGAATCCAAATGATCAAAGAGAAGTTGAATGGAACCACATACCAGGAAATTCTTGAGATGAATCTGTTGCCGTCCACCAGGATCATGAGGATGAGACAACGACCGCAGGACAACGATCCAAAGCATACTGTAAAGGAGATTCTCAGTTGGTTCCATGTGAAGAAAATAAGGGTGTTGGAATGGCCCAGTAAATCGCCAGACTTAAACCCAATGGAAAATTTGTGGTAGGAACTGAAGAGCACGATTCACCAGTGAGCCCCACGGAATCTTCAAGACTGAAAGACTGCCTGTGGAAAAGAATGGGCCAAGATCCCACCTGAACACTGTGAGAGATTAGTTCCTTCTTGAAGCTGTCAGTGCAACCAAATGCTTTTCCATCCAGTATCACAGCAAGAAGGGTCTGGGTTTGATTCCCCTGCCAGGCGACCACAGTCCTTTCTGTGTGGAGTTTGCATGTCACAGGGCACCTGGAGGAAACCCTGAGTCTGCACAGGGTGAGTACCAATGTCTGGTCTAACTTTTATGTGAATAGCCACACTGGAAACATGTTCAATGAAAAAATGATTAATGTGTTGGACACTTATTTCCCCCCCTGTAGACGTTTGCTTTGCATTTTTTAATAATTTTGCGCATGCATAGATCATTTATAGGGTTCTCCAAATAAAGAGGGACTGTAAAAACTACCACATAGGTGCACTTTGCAGGTTTGCTGCACAGTTTGCCACCATAACCCATTCCTCATTGGTCCCCTTATTCACAGTTATCCATATTCATTATGTTGAGCACAGTGCTGCGGTTGCACCGATATTATTTGGATAGCAGTTCATTCTCAGCGCAGAGGTGATACTGACATAGTGTGTGTGGTGCTGGTACGAGTGTATCAGACACAGCAGTGTTGGTGAGAGTGAGAGTGATCCGCCACCTAAAAATCAATCAGTCACCCCTTATTTAAACCGACATTGAGGGTGGGTTAACTTATACTGTAGCCAAGCATTATATAAAAATGAGGGATTGGAGAGAGTGAATATAATTCTGTAATAATGAAAATGTGACAAAGAAAGTTAAATAAAGCATAAGGATATAATTAAAACAAAAGACAAAACCAATTTAGGCACTTTAATATAAAAAGGATTATCATAAGCTAATAAAAAGAAGTAGAATAGTAAAAAAAAAAATCTGAACAGGAAAAATGAAGACACTAAATAAGGCAAAAGTAATAGTAATAAAATAGTACAAAGAGAACGATAAAACAATTAAATAGCAATTCCACTTATTTGTCAAAAAGCCTGTGTGAATAAAGGTTTATGTGAGGAAGACATTCAGAGTGGTTTGGTGTGAAATGCTCTGTTCTAGAGAAATGTACAGAGTCAGAACTGTTCACAGTGGTGGTGACAGGAACCAGACATCTGAAGAGTTTAACGCTTCTAAAAGCTCGCTTTCAGAACGTTATTACATTAAATGGTTATGAATGCACTGCCTGAGAGTGTATTTTTGTAATCTATTCATGGCGGAGAGGTACATACAGGCTGCTATAAGGTAAAATAGTACCTAAATAAGACATTTTTGTTTCTTTTTTACCACTTTTTGTAGCATCATCAACATTGCATGTAAAAACTCAGAAGATATGTAGGTTCACTGGTGATTTTGAGTAGCAAACTAAACATTTATGTTTGCGTTGTAAACATCCTGGTTCGTATCACCATCACTGTAGAGAAAACCAAGTCTGTAGGTTTCTCTACAATATATCATTTCATTTCACATCAAACCGCTCTGAAAGACTATGTTTACATCTCAATAACTGAATTACATAGACATTCTGAAAAATGAGTGGAATGCCCCTTTAACAAAATCAACAAAGAAACAATTAAAATCAACTAAAAACTAATATCGGCTAATTCAGTTGCAGCCTGAGTGGAGGGGTTTATAGATTAGAAGTTTAAAATGGTCGGGTGAAGAGATGGAGTGGAGTGTCCTGTCATAAATTCCAGCTGGCAGCTGCACTGTAGCTAAAAGCTGTATTTTCCAGTTCAATAAAAGCTCTCGGCACCTGAAGGGGGAACTCGACGCTGAAAAAAATGTCGATCATTTCTATTATTTACAGTGATCTTAGATGTGATATAAGATCCAGCCTAGAGCATCTTTGTGATCAGAAACCACTGATAAAGGGCTAGAGGATGACTAACACAAGCAGATAAGCTACAGTCTCTAACTGAGCTACAACTAACTAAGCTACAAGAGTAAAGAGTTTCCGATAAAGTGGCCAGTAAATGTGCACAGCTTTTAAACACCACAGCAGCACCTCTGTGCCTGATAGTACCATCACCACATGTCCTACCATGTCATTGTCACTGCTCTGCTGAGAACGGACGACCACCTGGTCATGGGTGGTCATACAGTGGTCCCTTTCCATTGATGGACAGGGTAGAGGGGCTGATAATCTGTGCAGCAACAGATGGGCTACAGTTGATAACTGTACACCTACAAAGTTCATCTACACTATATGGCCATAGGTATGTGGACACCTGATCATCACACCTATATGGCCTTGTTGGACATCCCATTTCAAAACTATGAGCATTAATATGGACTTGTCCCCCTCTTTGCTGCTATAACAGCCTCCACTCTCCACAGCTTTCCACAAGATTATGGAGTGTGTCTATGCCCATTTAGTCAAAAGAGAATTTTTGAGGTCAGGCACTGATGTTGGGCGAGAAGGCCTGGCTCGCAATTGACATTACAGATCATCCCAAAGGTGGTCAGTGGGGTTGAGGTCAGGGCACTGTCTAGGCTACTGGAGTTCCTTTACACCAAACTTGCCAAACCATGTTATGGAGCTCGCTTTGTGTACAGGGGCTCAGTCTTTCCCAAACTGCTGCTACAAAAATGGAAGCACATAATTGTCTAAGCTGTCTTTGTGCAATATAGCATTAACATCACCCTTTAGTGGAACTAAGGGGTCCAAACCCTGGAAAACAGCCCCAGACCATTATCCCTCCTCCACCAAACACCAAACTACTGCTGACCCTATGCATTCTGGTAGGTAGTGTTCTCCTGGCGTCCACCAAACCCAGATTCATCGATCAGACTGCCAGATTGTAAAGCATGATTCATCACTCCAGAGAACACATTTCCACTGCTCCAGAGTCCAGTGGCAGTGGACTTTACACCACTGCAGCCACAGCTTTGCATTGTGCAGTGATCTGTTGCTGTGAGATGAAACAGAGGACAGGTGATTTTAACATGCTTCAGCATTTGGCAGTCCTGCTGAGTGTCTACTGCTTCGTGGCTGAGGTGTTGCTGCTCCTAGATGCTTCCATTTCACTGCTTCCAGTACCACTTACAGTTGACTGGGGCAGAACTATCAGGGAAGAAATTTCACAAACCGACTTGTGGCAAAGATGGCATCCTGTCACAGTGCCACATTTAAAGACAATGAG